AGGTGACCGGAGATGGAGACAGTGAAGGTGACCGGAGATGGAGATGGTGAAGGTAACCGGAGATGGAGACGTGAACTCATGGGCGAAGTTATGAAGCCCAAGCTGGAAGAGATGAGTGGGTGGGAAGGGTAAAGATGGAAGAAATGGTATCTGAATGGTTGAGTGAATCCTTAGATGCTAAATCGTTAAGAGGCTTTTGTCACCATTAAGAGGTCCTTTTTTTTGCCAAACAACTCTAGCCTCTTAGCGATTAAGAGGTGTCCTCTTAATGTCACCATTAAGAGGCAACCAAACAGCCCCTAACTATTGTAATTAAAGCCACGCCTAGCAAATCTCCACCTTGGCTTTAATTCTAGTATTGTAAATTTTTAATTCCAGCTATCAATGTTTAGGAGATCTGAACAATGCCTAAACTTGTTCAAAGAAACGGATTTCGTTTGTGCATCAGCTGGATTGTTCTCGGTCTTCACTTTAATTCTCCTTTCCGAACGTATAAAGTGATAACGAACATCTATATGTTTCGTTCTCTCATGATGCACCTGGTCTTTTGCAAGACAAATAGCACTAAGGCTGTCAACAAAAACTACAGTCTGATCTTGATGAAACCCAAGATCTCCAAGCAAACCTTTTAGCGAAATCTCTTCTTTTGCAGCCTCCGCAAGAGCCATATATTCAGCCTTTGTTGTGGACAAAGCAACAGACGGCTGTAACGTCGCTTTCCAGCTCACTAAGGCATCTCCAACAGTGAACACATATCCCGTTAATAACCTCCGTGTGTCAAGTTCACTGCGTAATCGGAATCTGAAAATCCAGCCACAATACAATCTCCTTCTCCATAAATGAGACCTAAAAATAAGTTTCACGGCAACCCGATGTTCTTTCCTCGGATAAGCCATGTAGCACGAAACAACACTAACAACATGAGCTATGTCAGGTCTAGCGCAGACCATGACATACATAAGACTTCCTACAACAATAGAATAAGGAACATTGCTCATATACTCCACCTCAGCCTCTGTTTAAGGTGCCAAAGCCGCCAAAGCCACCGATAATCTGAAATTTGCCGATGAAGGTGTGCTCACAGGCTTTGCAGAAGCCATACCAAATTGAGAAAGTATCTTCAAAATGTAACTTTTCTGGGACAAAGTTTACGTCTAGATCTATCTCGGATAATCTCCATACCGAGAATCTTTTGAGCAACCCCCAAATCTTTCATGTCAAACTCAGAATTAAGGAGTCCTTTTAACTTCTTAATTTCAGCCATATCACGAGCCGCTACTAACATATCGTCCACATAAAGTAGTAGATACACATGTGACCCATCAACACCTTTCTTATGATATATACAACAATCATAAGGGGTTCTAGTAAAACCATGACTCACCATAAAGGTGTCAAAACGTTTATACCATTGTCTGGGAGATTGCTTTAACCTATAAAGGCGATTTCTTGAGCTTACAAACATAGTTTTCTTTACCTTGAGCTACAAAACCCTCCGGTTGACTCATATAGATTTCCTCTTCAAGCTCACCATGTAAGAAAGCCGTTTTGACATCCAATTGTTCCAACTCCAAATTTGCTTGTGCTACTACTGCCAACAACACCCGAATGGATGTATGACGCACCACCGACGAGAAAACTTCATTGTAATCAACCCCTTGCTCTTGGCTATAAACTCTAGCCACCAAACGGGCCTTGTATCTCACACTTTCAGCTCTTGGCAGCCCCAATTTCTGCTTAAAGATCCACTTACAGGTCACAACTTTTCTGCCTTGAGGTGACTTCACTAATTCCCAAGGTTTATTCATGTGAAGGAATTCCATCTCTTCACTCATGGCTGTTATCCACACGCCAGCCTCCTTCATTGTGATTAAGTAGATGGCTCAAAGAACTCCATTTCTTCAGTAACTTGCAGAGCATAGGCCACCATGTCATCAAATCCATATCGAATTGGCCTACCAACTTGTCTTCGGGGCTTATCTAATGCTACATATCGAAATTCTGCAGGCTGGTGCTGATTTTCAGGTACAACAGGTTCTGGTTGAGTCGAGTTACTGCGCTGTCCAACAGTTTTCTCGTCTTCATCGGGACCATTTTACTCGTACTCCACCTATTCCGTTAAATGGTTTTAGTGTCGATTTTTGGTGTAGCCCTATCTTCACCTGGAAATACTCCATCTCAACCATTGTCCTAACACAATCGATCTTTGATATTCGTAATCGCCCTGACACACCTCCATGGTACCCCCCTCTTCTCCACACGCCTACAAATTACTCCCCATGATACGCTATATAGGCCTTCTCTAGGTCTATGATCATTGAACACCAATTGTTTGTGACACTCTTGATAATCCTCAATGAGGTGCCTGAGGAGGTGTATTGCCTCGGTCATTGATTGTAACACCCCCAAATCCATATACTGCATATAACACATATTTCATACATAAAATACTTGTTTTCCCACAAAGGTCTATAATACAAGAGTCTATAATGTAAAATGCATAATTCAAAAATTCCAAAAGTACATGCCCTTGTATCCTAGCATCTATGCTTCAAAACATGGCTTATCAAGATCTTCTCACAGCTAAGCACATAGGAAAGTAATTCATATAATGTTCTTTCCCTTATTATCATTACCTGCACACATATGTTTGAAAACACCAAAATGAGGGTTAGACATAAATGTCTAGTGAGGTTCCCTTTTATGTAATGCAGGGTGAAGATCACCAAAACATTTATTCAAATAATTCATTCCATATAGCAAAGACTGAAAGTCATATTCTGTTCGGTCCATCTAGCCTCTGGTTCCAAACCATACTTGAAATATTTTTCAATAAACAGGACCAGAGCCTCTCTGGTCATTCTACTCGAGTTCTGATTCTTTGACCAGAGCCTCTGGTTGTACTAACCAGAGCTTCTAGCTCATAGATAATTTCTTATAATGTTCTTTAGTTAAGTTTTCAATCCAATAAGATAGCCTTTTTCATAAAAGAATAGTTATACAGAGTTCTTACTTGACCAGAGCCTCTGGTTGTACTAACCAGAGCTTCTGGTTCAAAAGTTATGACCAACCAGAGCCTCTGGTTCAACGTGAGTCGACCAGAGCCCCTCTGGTCTGTCTTCAGTAGGAAATACGAAGTATAAAATCCTTTTTCTTAAAACTTCTTAAAATATGATTTTGACACAAACTCTTTTCAATAGATACAGAGCCTCTGGTCCAACTAGTTTATTAAGAGCATGCATACTTCTTAAAGCAAATAACCAGAACCCCCTGGTCCAAAAGTGAGGATCAACCAGAGCTCCTCTTGTTCCTCATAAAATGTACATTATGTTCCAAAACTAATGACCATAGGCCATATTTTCCCGTAACCATAACATCAATACTACTATTTCCAATAAGAACATCTCTGAATCCTCAAATCACCAAGAAGAGAGAACTCCAATCTGTTGTAATCTTAATAGATATAATAGCAAGAGTTATACCATGCACACACACACAACGACCATCCTTATTACATCCATAAATCCCCTGTTTATAGCAATAGCTATTCATCACATACAACGACCATCCTTATTTCCCCTGAAAATACTTATGAACTATTTCATCCAATGACAGGCTGCAGGCATTTCTGTCAGAGTGAACCTCGTTCATAGTTTTTAATCAAATCATAGTCTCAACACAGGTTTATTATTCAAACCTTTCAAACCATAAGAACAATCTGTTCTATATATGATTTCATGAATCATCCATTCCTTTTTAAATCCTCAAAACAAGATATCATATCCCAAAACTGCTAAAACACAGTTTTTGCTTTGATCTTTTCCAAAACAGATTCAAGCTTCCAAATCACAAAATATTTTCTTTAAAACTGTTTAAAACAATTTTACCAGATTCTTTTCAAATTTCAAACCATCAATACTCAAAAATTTACACAATTAAACAGTAGATTTAACTCAGTTTGTAGATAGGCAGTAATTCAAAAACTCATAGTTATAATCGACAGTTATTTAAAACTCACCTTCAAAATTGAATACAGATTCTGCAATTAATAAACACAGGTTCTTTCTTTTAGAACACCCTCAAGAATGCTTTCACCGCCTTTAAATCTCGGTTTTTTTTCCTCTTAGATACTTTTCTTTTTGTAAAATAGTAAACCGATAAGGTTTTTACCTTATCTTATTTCTTTTATACTTAGAATGAGTCGGTGATGGAATTTTACTAATATAAAAATCCATTGGGCGGTGAGGATAATATTTTTAAACCAACCTTTTCTTAGTCATGAAGTATGAGTTTAATCCATTACATCTTATCACATGTATGCATAATATCCCATTACCACGTGTACACATAATCCATGCAAGTATTATCATAATTATGCATGCTATCACATAATTCATATAATAAACACATAGGGTTACCTTGATCACCCCAACATGAAACCAAATTGGTTTTCTGTAATCGTCATTTTGCGTCTCACCCTGGCCTCCACCACTTACTTTGCATAATTTCATGGTGCAGCTAATTAACTTTATACCACGACAGTTATCAAAACTTTGCACGTCATCTTTCTTATCCTTATGCTTGGCCACTGCTCTAAAATATCGATAGCATTAATGTTTGTCTTCATTGAGGGGTATGCTTGATTTTAAGTGATGGTCATCTATGTGCCCAATTAAACTTTGCATTTATTTGGGAGAAGGATTAGTTCATATATGATATATCAACTCAATTTATTCTCATAGTGCGCTACGAAAAACTGTTGCCATGACTGATTAATATGGTAGGATCCAGGGTTTGGCCTAATTGTGGCTTTCCTCTATTGAAAATTTTCCGTCATTTACCAGACATTACCGAACTCTGAAACAAGATCGCTTACAGTCTTCATTTAATTTTTAAAGCATCGCCTGTGGTTGTCCTCCTGCTCTGTAAGCCCTTGAGCAGAATGCCTTGATCAAGAACCTTAAATGGCCAATAGCAGTTGTATCCTTTGAAATGATTGTGGGAAGATCTGGAAACATAACATCAGAGATAAATTATCTATTTCATCTTGGAGACGTCAATTAAATGATGTTCTTTTGCTGTGGGAAGAAACTAGCAATTTGTAAGCCACTTATCTATCATTACACATTACTATATAGATCCATAACAAACAAGGGAAATTTCACCTTGATCTTGACTGTACATGATGATCCTATCACTTGATGCAAACCCCCGTTCTGTTCTTTGGGCATCTGTGCTAGTTTTCATCTTTGCCCGAGTGTTCTACAAGTGATCTCTTATAATTGTGTATTAGTCTCTTTGCTGTACCCATACGACCACAACAACTATTTACTTTCCTATAGGAGGCAAACCTAAATGCAAAGGAGGAAGGTGAAACCAACTCCAAAGTGGTGAAATCCATAAGCAACTGAGTTGGCCCCAACACTGAATGAGTATGGTATTGATGGAAGAACCACTCAACCATACACGGGTGACAACTACACAATTTGGGGTGTCATTTTTCTTCATTCCTATCAGATTTTGGGGGCCACCAAAATTATGTTATGCATGATTACTAGGGAGATACCCAAACATATAGGGCAATAAATAAGCCTACATGCTTGAATAGATACACATGTAACCAATGGCAGGCCTAATGTGATAAATAACACAAAGAGACTATGTCTACTTGGTTTTACTCAAATTGGTTTTACTGATTCTCTTTAGGTGGACTATTACCTTTACTTAAATTGGTAAATAATTACTGCATCACGTATGGTGGGAATAAGTGGCAATTTGCATTTGTTTATTATTGTTTCCTGTTGATGCTTTTATGTATCTGGGTTCCCTTGCTAATTTAATTGGCTTTAACTCATTCTTTTGGTGCAATAAACCGTTTCATAGTGTAATTCCTCTCTCTATGTATACAAGTGTCTGTGTATACTATAATTGTTGCGTCATCTGTTGTTTATTTTGTGAATCACGTATGTTCTCTCTATGCCTCCCAGGGAGCCTTTTGGTGACTTGCACAATGATGGATCACTTGACGAAGAGAAAAGTCATTCCGTTGATTGCTCCAACTTTGTTGATCTAGATTGGCTTTCTTCCTCTCTCAATTCATGTGAGGAGCAGTTGCTGGGGAGGTAAGCTTTTATGAATTGTTTTGAATGCTGATCTACAATATTTTACATAAACAACATGGTTTGTCAACATTATGAAGAAAATAACCATCTTATCATCAACATGCTGTTGCACACCCAGGATCAAATGCTAAAATCTTCTACTAAAATGGAATGATTACACAGGGTTTCTCAGGTTTTGGAGAGATTGAGATCTCTCCAAATCAGAATAGAATTATCGATGCCCTCCAAAATCACAGCTCCTATTTGTACTTATTATCATGCTTTATCTACTTGTGCTATTGCACTAATTACTTGTACCTTTCTACTACAGCCCTCCAGTATTGACCCTCCCACTAACTACTATTATTGACTATTTGGTCAAGCATAAATACTTTGAAATGTTCATTAGTTTTTTGGATTTTCTTTTTTAATGAAAATTGCATTAGTTTTTCCTTCTTAGTTTACAAAACCACATACCCATCGGGGTTGGGTGAAACCACCATTTCTAATAGGCTAAACCACATGCGCTAGATAGACTAACTCCCGCTGCCAGAAATCCACATTTCTTGAAATCAACATATCCTTCGGCTTTTCAGCCCCCTTTCTCACCCCCAATCTTCGTAGTCTTAGGTGTTATATCCCCATAATGGGAGTTGAGTGACACTTCCAGTTCGTGATCAACACCTGACCCTTCATCCATTTCATCAGATTGGCCCTTTTCTGACTCTTGCACCACCAATACGGCAACACGTTTACCTCTTCCTTTTTACGCTTCTGTCCTGGTGCATATTTTTCATTGCACTGATAACACAACCCCAAAGTTCGACGTTGCTGCAATTCATGGTCCAAAAGACGCAGGTGTTCCTTTTCTCCTTTTGCTGTTGGATCTGTCCCATTTCACACCGATGGCCGGAAATTCCATGTGTTCCATCCCTCCGATTCAGCACCCTGTTTTTGTCTTGAATTTTCAATGCCAAGTTCATCGCATTACTGTGACTGGTTGGGACCAAGTCCTTACCTCTGCCCTCAAGGTCGGCTCCGAAACATTGAGAAATTGACCGTAGAATCGTCCTCCGGAATCCCCTCCAACAGCGCCGCCTTGGTAACGAGTCCCCGCCTATTTGAGAGGCTGGAATCTCCCACACAACTTCAAGAAAATGAAGAACGTGATCCTCTAACTGACTTTGACTTCTAGTTCTCTTTATAGCTTAGCTAACTGACTTCTACTGAATTAACGTCACAACTGACCCATGCGCCTAGACATGTTTGACTGAAATAACATGTTTTCCCTTTACTTCTTTGATACATAATTAGTCCAGGCTTATCTTCCTCTATGTTCACTAACATCTTTATCTTGTTCCATATCTGTTTAGAGAAAAAAAAGGACGGGCAAAAAATAGGGGTGTGAGAATTAAGTTGTGTAGAACAGAACGGGCAAGCCATGTCTGGTGAGAGTTGTTTCCAAGCTCAAATTTTGTCTTGGGTTGTTAGTCTTCCTCCGATAACAAGTCAGAGAGTAAATGCATGTTGAGGGATGCATCGACTCTTCCAAACCATCCTATACCATGGGACCTCAGTACCATCCGTTCTGACGTTTTAGCAAACTTCCCCAACTGAAAATGGGACCAAGTGGCCTTGATTATTCTTCCAATGATGCTGATCCACTTTAGTCGACGATCTTTGAGGCCACTTCTATGCATCATTTCCGATCACATCCACAACCTTGTATTCAATAGAGAAATCTGCCTGATAAATTTGCCTTTTTGTGATAACAGGGCAGATGGATACCAATTATCAAACTAAGCTGATGTAGATTTCCCATTCCCCAACTTATGTGTCACATAAGTTCTGATTGCTTGATTTTCTTCCCTCGTCTACATTTGTCCCAAAGGGAGTACACTTTTTATTATGAGAATACAGACTTCGTAGTTTTCAATTTCACTATTATCTGGATATTTTAGTTTTCAGCTTTGTAAAAAAACTCACGATTTTCAGATTGACATTTATTTTATTTGGCGCAGAACTGATGTGGACTCCTTATTTATAGAAAACTCATGTGGCTAAATCGGTTTTCATTTTAGTGTTGGCTTTTATCTTGGTGATATTTTGCAAATATGCTTCTAATGGAATGAATGTATGAAGCTATCAGAGTGGTTCATGGTGTGCCATCCCTTTTTTCTCTAAGGAATCAACTAGGGCAGTGCTGGCTGGATAACATGTTTAAAATACTTTGAAATGTTTGTAGCAGGCAGTCTAGACCTCTAGCTGACACTGATGTCCTTACCACATAGTTAACAGTAATGTTTTTTTTTGCAAGTAGTTGACCACATTTTCTTTTCTCTTGTAGATCGCTTTTCGCACGCTCGTCAATGGCTGGACTGTCACCTGAGAATGCTGCCAACGAAATTGCAGCAGAGACGACTCCATCCACCAGCGAATCCAGCATCAAGGTTAGTTTGAAGCATGTACAAAATGATAATTCAATTTGGACTATGAAGTAAATGGTTTTTCTCTTCTTTTGGAATCGAATATGACAGTAGCTGTAGATGTTTTGGTTATAAATGAACATTATGTGGGGATAAATTGAACATTAATTAAGCAATATTGTGTCCACAGTACGGGGAATTCTAATGTGTTGTATTTTAGGGGAGCAAGCATACTGCAATGGAGTCATTGTGCGATGATTATGATCTTCCTGAGGAATTTTCAGATAGTTTTCTGCGCTGGATTAACAATGGAGAGACTCTTTGCCACTAAGGCGGGTTTTGGATTTTCCTCGGCATTAATGCTTATTGGGCCTAAAGTATCTTGAACAGTTTTTTCTGCACGTGTGATGAGCAGAGACCGGACAAGCCCTCTGGTTAGCCTTATATCAGTTTGGGAACCTACATGCTTCTTTATGCAGTAGTTTAAATGTTTGATGGTAAAAATGTGTGCTTATTTTTGGCTATGTTTAATTATCCAAGGCTGTGATTGGTTTTGTAAATGTATATATGCACTATCAGCTATAGGAACCCCACTGTTTATTTAGGCAGGTGATTCTTTACAACCATATATGTTTAACAATACTTTTGTCTTATGCTGCAATAAGTTTGATTGAGCCATTGTATACTCATATTTTGTGCAGTTGTAATCATCTGTTTCTGACTGCTTCTCTGTCTTTGCTTTGAATCCTTAATCTTTTGCATCATTGACAACTTTTTATTTTGGATGCATATGTAAAATCTGTATGTACTTGTCATCGGGTACTTCTTTTTTTAAAACTATTTTAGCTTTGGTTTATCGGTTTATGGTTTAGGGTTTGTAGTTTGGGGGAAAAACCCAAAACCCTGACCTCAAAACCCAACCCCCAAACTCCAAAACCAACCGCTCACCCTCAGCCCCTAGAATCCTGCCCCCGCCACAGACCCCAGCGCCTAGAATCTTGCCCCCGCCCCTAGTCCTGCCATCACCCTCAGACTCCAACCCTTAGCCATCGCCCCCACCCACCCCTACCCCTGGCCCTCGCCCCTAGATGAATCATGAAAACTTTGTTGGCAATCCAATACGGTCAGTCCGCGAGAGAGAAACGACGAAGGTTTATAGGTATAGAACATGATTTGTTTCGGTTTCGATGAAGCGTGCAACACACATTCTTTCAATTTGGCAAATACGTTGCTCCAACAATTTTCAGCATGAGATCGATTTTATTGTCAAGTTATTTCTGGTGGAGATCATCTTATTTACATTATAGATGCATCAAGAAAATTTTCATGGCAAGACAACACGATCGGTCCACACGAGAAAAACCACGTATTTCGCCGCCATTGAGTTTCGACAAAAAATTGATGTTTTTGCTTAAACATGCATAACATTTGCTGCAGGATCCGATTTGAGGCCCATACCAGTCAAATCAAAGCTAACAATGAGGAACACACTACCGCAAAAAGGTTTATGGTTATACAACAAAATTTGTGTGGGTTTTGATGAAGTGCACGACGCACCTTCTTTCGATTTGGCAAAGCATGACTTCGACAATTTTTAGCACGGAAAAGGTTTTTTTGTCAAGTTCTTTCTAGTGGAAAACATCCCATTTATATTGTAGATACATCACGAAAATTTTAATGACAAGAAAGTATGATCGATCTCCACGAGAAAAACCCTTGTACCGCCGCTTTGAGTTTCGGCCAAAAATTGATATTTTTGCTGTATAACCCGGTTTAAGGTCCATAACTAGTCAAATCGAAGATAGGAACAAGGAGCACACTACTATAGGAAGGTTTATGGTTATACAACATGATTTATGTGGCTCCAGTAATTTTGAGCATGAGAACGGTTTTTTTGTCAAGTTCTTTTTTGTGGAAACATCTTATTTACATTGTAGATTCATCACGAGAATTTTCATGGCAATCTAGCACGGTCGGTCCGCACGTAAAAACCCGTTGTACCGCCACCTTTAAGTTTTTCCCAACAATTGATGTTTTTCTTAAACATGCATAATTTTTGTTGCAGGACCCGGTTTAAGGCCCATAACCGAAGCTAGGAACGAGGAGCACACTACCTCATGAAGGTTTATGGTTATACAACATGATTTGTGTGGTTCTGATGAACGACACACGTTCTTAGGCATGGGGATGGGGCGGGGACCTCAATCCCCATCCCCGTTCCCGATTACTTATCTCTATCCCCATCCCCGTTCCCGATTACTTATCTCTATCCCCATCCCTGTCCCCACTTTCTCCGGGGAATATAATCACATCCCCATCCCCAAAGGGGAAACGAGGTTTTTTCCCCGTTTATATAAGTTATTTTGAATTAAATATATGAGAAACCATACATGTTTAAACCTCAAACAATTTCAATAAACCTAAAACCAAAATGAATTTAATTTAATACAAAAAAACCACAACATCATATAAAAACTAATAATCTAAAAAAAAAAAAAAATATTCAATTTAATCCAAAAAACTTAAAGTCACATGTACCAAAAGATAATAAGTAATATAAAACCATATTGAGTAATATATAAAACTTATCGTGTAATTGTATTTTGACTTGACAACCAAAATATTATATATTAACATCCAAAAAGTAACAATTTTAGATTATAAACCTAATTAAGAAATAGAAAATTATAAATTACCGCTTTAATTGAGATAAATAATATACATATATACACCAAAGGGCCTTTAGCCTAGCGGTATCGTAGCCCTTGGCTTCCTATGAGGTCAAGGGTTCAAACCTCACCAAATGTGAGGAGGGTGTGTGAGTTTATTTGTTGCATTTGTCGTATATAAATATTATATACTTAAAAAAAAATAAAAAAAAATATAAATGTGTGCATGTGCATATTTTATTAATACATATATATATATATATATATATATAAAACGGGTAGGGGGAAGTACCATACCCGTCCCCGTCCCCATCCCCGGTTTGAGACAAATGGGGATTCCCGTCCCCGTCGTCATCCCCGATTTAACGGGGAATCCCCGTCCCCGACCGGCGGGTGGACCGGGTTCCCCGACGGGTCGGGGGCCATTCCCATGCCTACACGTTCTTTCTATTTGGCAAATACGTGGTTCCACCGATAATTTTCAGCTGGGGAACGGTTTTTTTTTTGTCAAATTCTTTATGGTGGAAAACATCTAATTTACATTGTATTTGTATCACGAAAATTTTCATGGCAAGATTGCTTAGTAATATTAATGTTTAAGCCAGACCTCCATTTCTGAATAAAGATGGGAACATTTTTTATAGTCTAAGGGCCATTATCAATAAGTTTTTGAATGACATTCTCATCATTGAATTTAAACAGGTAAACAACATGACCATTCAAAAGCACATCTTCTAAACCATATTGAGACCAAATTTTAGAAGCAAAGTATCTAACAATAGGGAAGGGGAGACCTTTACCCACAAAGTAACCACATATAGTTTTGGCATAAGTAACACAACTTTTTTTGCATAACCGATATAGGAATGTCAACAGGAGTATTCGTGTCATCAATGATATTAAGAATAAATTAAAAATTAGCATTGAGATGCTTTTGGGGGCCATTAAGCACATTAGCAAACGAGTTGGGAAGAATAAAATTATTTTTTCTGTTCCAAACCGAATTTGGTTTATCAATAAAACTAAGATCCTTTTTTTTTTTTTCAAAAGGGGGATTTGTAAAATCTATACTAGAAGCAATAATAAGATCAACTACTTTAGAAATAACATGCAAGGAAGGGGGGTCCGCATTAGTGGGATATGGAGGAATTATTATAGCAGAAACAGTAGCATCAAGAGGAAGGGCTTGCACATAATTAGAAACAGTGGGGAGGGGAGATGGAAAAGAAGGCGTAACTGGGCCTGGCCCGAGAATGGACTGTGGGATTACAATATCATCTTTGGGCTGATGTAAAGTTAGCATAGTATTGGAAAATAGATCTTTTTGGTCAAAGCCTGCTCCACCATCTCCTTTAGCCCCACCATGCATGATAGAAGTGTCTCAATGATTAGGTCGAATGTTTTCCTCCACATCCATCTTGTTGCATGGGCTTTGAAAAGAGCTACCACTAGGATCTTTTTGAGACTTGTCACAATTAATATTATTTTTTGATTCGGCACAAATCCAAACTATTCTCAACCACTTCTTTAGGCTTAGGACAAACAAAATTTTCTTGGCCACTAGACATGCTCATAAACAGTAGCATTAGAATTTTCAACATTATGAGGATTAGCTGGGGGGTTGAGAGGCATATTTAAATTATTCATAACAGAATTCTCCAACATACCAACATTAGAGGGGGACAACATTTAAGCTTTATAAGAGTCATAATAATTTTTAAAAGGCAAAACTCCATGCACATGAGTAGGTGCCCAAGAAGGGGGAGGAGAGTTAAACATATTAGAGATTTTAGTAGAGTTAGTAGAATCACTAACTTGGATGTGATCATTTTGCAAGTTACCATCTTTGATGACACAACCCAAAGAAGAAGATCCAATGACATTATCACCATGTATGGGCTTAACAGTAGATGGGCTAACCTGAAGGGTAGTTGCAAACATCATTGTTAACTTGGCCCCGAGAGGAAACACTTTTTAAATCATCACAAGACATGGACTTAGACAAAGTAGATCCTTGAGCTCATTTAGTCTATCCAACATCATCTGGGCTTAAAAGATAAGGCCCAAGATGGACCTTGTTAATATCCGCTTGCAAAGAATCTTGAGCAGCTGCTTCTTGAAAGAATGGGCCAGGAATGGGCTCTGGGAAAATGGCTTACTTAGTTAGCCCCATATGGACTGAGCATCTTACTGGGTTGTCTTACACTTTAGAGGAACTAAGCCTTCACTAGAACATTCCACAACATAAGAGATTTAGAGGCCCATGCACATCATCACTTCGAGAACATTCTCCACTTTTCTGGGCCTGGGAACCACCTTGCAAGAATGCAAGTGCTTGACTGGCCCAAGGCTCTGCATATCCTCCATTCTGGTATCCGACCCCGATTCCTTCCTTATTGAATAAACGCTCCTTTCCTCCAATATCACACGTAAAGAAGGAAAGATAATCATCTCTATTTTCAGTACAAGGGGGGTTACCAAAAATATAGACTTCCCGATTTGACTCCAACAACCGGTGAGAATCCGACCACCCCTCTCCTGCCTGAACATCCAAGGGGTTTATAGGAGTAGTAACACGATTAGAAGGAGAAAGCTAATTTTTTCAAGGCAATGGGACATTATAGAAAGTAGTAGAGTAAGACAAGGAAGACTCTTCATCTATTCTACGGTCTGCAGTCCTTCTTTCAGAGATCATGTCAGTTTCCAAAGCATCTGTTTCTTTGAACTCACCAATAATATGATAGCCTCCATGAAAATGCAAAAGAATAGAAGGTAGGGATATAGAGCCATCATACTTTCTTGAACCAGATCTCACTTTATTATCATTTTTTCCTGCACAAAACTCATTAGCAACTAAATGTAAGGGAGGGAGATTTATACTAACCTTTATCATTTTCTTATCATTTAAGAACGTCTAGGCTTGGATTGATTAAACCCATTCTTGAGAAGCAGAAGTTGCTTATGTTTATCCACCATCTCCTTCTTTCTAATAATCTGGTTTGAACAAAACGAATTTCCATTTCTCATAAACAAATGACGGGGATTTGGACATCGTTG